TTTTCCCCACTATTTTGGTTTCTTTTTGGAAAAGCATACCTTTTCTCCTAGCAGATGACACCAGGAATGACTTCATTCTTTAGGTAAGACTCTGCTCTCTATACACTGGTAGTAGCTTAATGAAGCTACATAATAAATACCCAAAACAAGTCTGATAGTATAAATAACATCTTGGCTGTATCATAAGTAAATTTCAACACCCTAAACATTATATACACAGTGCTGGGAGGGCCATTCTCTCCTGACACCTCTGGGCCTACATGGGCAACCTTACCATCTAAAAGGAAAATAGTAGAGTGAGTATCAAACAAGACCACAGTTTGTGGAAATGCTTTCTAGGTCTGCTGAAGTAAGTCACTTAGTCTCCCATATTTCCCGAGAGCTGGCGCCTAGGCTGACCTAAAGCGTAATTATGCTACCGTGCTTACTACTCTTTTAGCTCTTCTCAGTGTCCACTTCTGATCCAGGCCCTGGAAGGACAGGCTGCTGCCTGTGGAGACCTCCCACACCAACATTACATCTTCCTTCTCATAACTGGAATTCAGCATCTGAATATGGCAAAGAGATACACATTTTACAAAAGTAAAACTTCTTAAATGTTACCTCAAGTAATGCTTAATTGGAGAGCTACATCTCTAGTTCAACACCTCAACGACTAGCCTCAGGTGCGAAATGAAGTCCAGTAGAACTGTAATATGAACAGCAGCTTCCTCACTCCTTACAGCTATAAACATGTATCAACATGTAAGTCAGATATAGTTGAGTTATTATACATCTATAATATATATATAGGTATCAACAAATTGAATGACAGGTATTATTTTCCCCAGCCACCCTGGGTGGCAAAAAGACACATAACTTACCTAGAAAAAAACATTATTATAGCAGCTGGTAACTCATCTTGAGCACTATATGAGCACATTATATACCTAATCTAATCCTCACAACAATTTTGTAGAATATACTCATTACTTCATTTTTTTTAACAGCTGGGAAAACTGAGGAATAAAGAGGTGGAGTAACTTGCCCAAGTTTACAGAGCTTGTGTGCTGCATAGCTGGGCTTCAAACCCAAGGAGTTTGGCTCCAGAACCAAAGCTCTTCACCATGACATGGTACCACCTGTTCCTGGCAGACTGCCACAGGTGGATGTGAGTTGGGAGAAAAAGAACATGTATGCACGAGGTGAGAAGCAATGCACTTGAGCATGTGTAATGACCCTTTGATGAACTGGTAATTGGCAAAGCACCAGGAAAAGATGGTAACAAAGAGATGGCCTTTTCCCCAGGTGTGGATACTGGTGGGCATTTAGATGTGTAAGTCAAATGTCTGGATTATTAAAATGTGCTGAAAATTCCTGCCCTTTGTTTACTAAATACCAGCAAAACTTGTCTAACTTCAAGTACTTGATATTCTTCTCAACTTTGGCACTTAAATACATTAATAGAAAACAGAGCCTAAAGCAAATATTGTTAGTGACATCAAAGCTGAGTTTAAGGAACATGTGACGTGCTAACAAAGTTGTCCATATCTAGGTAGACACCTACTTGCTTTGTTCGCTGAAGCAAGGTACTGTTAGGAAATGCATTCTTCTTACTTCAGTCCCAATTCTTGGGCTGGGGCAGCATGAGGGTGGAGGCTTTGACTGAAGCTGAAGTGCCAAACTGGAAAAAAAAACCAAGATTGATTCCATTATATTAATACCCCCTATTAATACCCCCTTGCAGGCTTCATAAACAACACCTGAAAATAAGCAAAGTCAAATCGTGGCTAAGCAGCTTTCATCACAGCAGCCTGGGTTTAATTAGGTTTTACATTTTTAAAGTATTTTAGGTTTACCTAGTGCCTTTAAAGTGCATTGGGCCCAGGTCCCAGAAAGATTAAAAAAACAGAAATTAATTTTCAAGACATTCCATGGAGAAAATAAAAAGCCCTTAGCTTGGATCTCAAATACTATATCAGAATAAACTCCAGTCTTGCCCCTTGCAAACTTTTGCCATGTATCAGCCAGAGCAATTTAAAAAAAAAAACAAAAAACAGACCATATCTCTCCCTTGGTCAGGCATCTTCAATGGCTTCAGGTAAAGTCTGAACATTTCATGTAACCTACAAGGAACTGCATGATCTTGCTGCTGGAGTATGATGGGCGATTGTGGAGCAAGGAGGTAGGCTGTCTACGTCTGAATCCTAGTTCTGCCATTTACCATCTGCATAACCTTGGGCAAATTATTTTCCTCTGTATACTTCAGTTCTTCTTACCTAAAAAATGGGGACAATATAGAACCTATCTCATAGAGTTGTGCAGATTAAGTGAGTATTATCTACCCAACCAGCATAACACAGCACCTGGCACTTATATAAGTTTTATGTAAGTATTAGCTAGTATTTCTTATCTGCCATACTCCTTCTCTTCCTTTCCCCCCAACTCTGTATTCCAGCCATTCTGTATTAGTCAGGCCCTAGAATCCCAGGAATCATGTTTCTCTGTCTGGAATACTGGCACCCAAATCTCCCTCTTATCTTGTTTCCATCCCTATCCTTCTATCTTTGCTTAACCACCACTTGCTTTGGGAAGACTTTCCAGTCCAGGCCAGTTGTTACCACGATGGGCTTCCAAGTCACCCAGGTAGGGCTGCCAGAGGTTGGGAGGCCCTGTTAAATTTGAATGTCAGATAAACAACAACTACTCAATACAAATACAATAAATATTTTAGCAATAAGTATGCCCCATACAATATTTGGACTTCAGATAAACGATGAATTATTTTTTAGTATAAATATGCCCCCATGCAATACTTGAGATATACTAAACATTTATTTATCTGACATTTGAATTTAACTGGGTGTCCTGTGTTTTATCTGTCGGCCCTACACCCAGGAGTCCTCTATCATAACCCTCACAAAATTTCAATAAATTAAAAAGTATGACAAGTGGTTCTGTTTCCCCCACTAGTGTGTCAGGTCAGAGGAGCAGGGCCCACGCAGGCTTGTTCACTGTTTTAGATCTGGCACTGCCAACATTCCACAAATACTGAGGAATAGAGCCATCAGGCCAATGCTCAGGCGCCCCCTATTGGAAGTTATCTGTAACAACAGGCAGACTTTGGGGGAGAGGCATTTTCAAGAAGATACCGCTAGTTTCATGTCCACAGGTGGATAAAATGACGGTACTACTTTTCAGAATATCTCCAGTGTGATAATATCGGCTCCCCAATGACAGCTTTAAGGTGACCCTACTATTTTACATTAAAAAAAGACTTTGAGTTTTCGTACCTATTTCACTTGACTCTTAAGGCAAGTATTAATATCCACATTTAATAAATGAGGAAATGGAGGCTCAGAGAACTGTAAGCAACTTACTCAAGATGACTAATAAGTGGCTGTTTTATCCCTGGGAATCGACCTTATGCTCTCCCCACTGTGCCACACCGCCATCTGGGCCAATTTAAAGAACCAGAATTCTTGGATTCTTCCTCCTCACCTAGACATCCTCTCAAAGAAGTCTGATACCTGACTCCTCTCTACAGACTTAACTGCTCCCCCTATAAAGGTTCCCCAACAATAGCCTGAGAGGAGACAGGGAGGCCTGTATTTTGAAATACAGGTAATTCTTAACTAATCTCTCATATTACAAATAACACTATTTAGGTCTGGAGACTAAAGACTTTGCATAGAGTTGGAGGGAAATAGTAGTAACACTGACCAGAACCCGAAATAAGTCTTTTTTTTTTCAACCTTCTTCTCTAGAAGACGCCAACCCACATCCCCTGAAATTTCTGGGGACAAGGATTTACACTTTGACTATATAATTCTATCAAATTTCTTCTGGAATGAGTTGGGAAAGGCTGACCCAGCTCTTAGTATAGCATCTAGTAATCTCATCTCTTGGAGCGCCACTACAAATTCATCAGCCCGAGGGTATGCGGGCTTTCTGTCACTGGGAAATGCCTGTGAAGCTGACTAGATGCCAGTTGTGCTCCCAGTTCTCCTCATAAAGGATCTGAGCCTCTGAGGAAGATCCACTCAGACTGGAGGAGCCCAGATTCTACCAGGACAGGAAGCTGCGGACTAAACCAGCCGCCACATCCAGTCCAGGCTCTCTCGCCCGAAAGCTCCCCCGACCCTAACCCAGCTCTGCTTCCGTGAGCTTCTGAAGGAAGCTTCCTCAAAGGAAACTTCCATTTTGAAGGAGCGGAAATGGGAAGCAGGGAACAACCAAGAAAGGTTGGGCTGCCCAGGGCAGAGGTTCAGAAGCTAAAGACCTAAAACAGAACAGGCTGTGAGCAATTCCATAAAGCCAGAAATGCAACCCCCCAACAATGATATGTTCTTAACCCCCTGCAGCTTACTTGGTTTGGGAGGAGGTGAGGAGAAAGTATGACAGGGCTGCAGACCTGCTGTTGGAGCCTCCTTGGGCAGTCCTCTGCTGTGTCTGCAGCGCGAGCGCCTGCCGGCTGCAGGGACTAGCTCCTAGACACACAGCTGCGCGGAGGAAGCTGCGGAGGCTCTGCTCCCCAGCCCGGCGGAAGGAGGAATACTGGCGACTGGGGCCTGCCTAAAACGAAAATACCAAACGCAACTTAGTTATAATTATGGATTGTAGGGGCCACTGAAGAAAACATCCGTGCTGACAGAATTCTAGCTGGAGCCTTCCTCTGAAGCTCGGAAACGGACCTTTACAAAACTACCGACCTGGATTAGAGCCAGCATGGAAGGTGCTCGCACGTGTCGAGACCATCTGGCCAAGGACGGTTCCCCCGGGGAATCTTTTCTCTGGCACTGTTAAGCCCCTCAGTTGGAGCCGGCGCTCACCCCCACTTCCACCTCACGCCGTGCGCGCAGCTCCTGGCTCGGGTGCCCGGGTAACCAGGGACGCGCGGGAAGCCGGCTGCGCAACGCGAGTGCACCCCGCCCGCCGTAGCTCCTCCTACCCCTTGCAGAAACTGACGCTGAGTGTGCCAGCGGCGCTCTCGGGAGCGGGTCTTTAGCCGGGAAAGCGCGGCTCTCGTGCCGCTCTGGGCTCAGCCAGTGAGAGGCCGGGGGTGTGGTTGAGGGAACACACAGGCCGAGTACTTAGGGCCTCGCTGTGGGTCAGGCCTGGTTTTCTTCGCACTCTGGCGCACGCGTGTCCTCCTCGCCGCAGCCAGGGCGCCCGAGAACGGTCACCTGGCTGCATCATGGTGACCCCCTGCACCACCAGCCCCGTGAGCCCCGCCGCCAGGGCTGGGAGGCGAGACGACCAGAACCTCCGTGCCCCGGTGAAGAAGAGCAGACGTCCACGCCTCCGGAGGAAGCAGCCGCTGCAGCCGCGAAACCCGTGCCCGCTCCCCGGAGACTCCGGCGTTTGCGACCTGTTTGAGTCCCCCAGCTCCGGCTCGGATGGCGCCGACAGCCCCGCGGCGTCCGCGGCGCGAGGCTGCAGCCCCCTACCCGCTCCTGCCCAGCAGCTGGTGCAGCTAGATCTACAGACCTTCCGCGACTACGGTCAGAGCTGCTACGCCTTCCTCAAGGCGCGGGAGAGCCACTTTCACCCGCGGGAGTCTCTGGCGCGGCAGCCACAAGTGAGGCGCCGGTAGAGCTAGCTCTCCACCGCCGCTCCTCTTCCTCTCCCGGGCTCTCCTTTTCTGCTCTGTCTGCCCTCCGAGGAGCCCAGCTCCTGCCCCCGGTCCGAGCGGGAAGGGGCTTTGGAGGGCCGGGCTACCGGCCTCATTTTACAGATGGAGAAAAGTGGGGCCTAGACGGCTTAAGCGACCTGCCCGAAGTCTCCAAACTGATTAATAAGGGTACAGTAGAATGCAAAGGAGTTAAGAAGGTTTCTAGGTTCGAGTCTGGACTCCTACTGACCCCAGCCAGTTACTTAACAATTCTAAACTTGTTTCTTCATTTGCAAAGTGCGGGCCTCCCCTGCCCCCACTGAATTGCTGAGAGGATTATAACAGGTAACGTTTACCCGTGCTCCGCACAGCGCTAGGCACAAATCCTGGCGTCCCGGCTCCTAGCCCCGCCTGTGCTCTTTCCGCAGCAGTGCTGCTCACGTGTTTCCTCCCAATTGCCAGGGCGTTTAGGTTTTCCTCTTTTTGCCTGCCTCTCTCCGGGAATGCTCCCTGGGTCTTCTCGGACTGTTCCTTCCGCAGCTCCTCTCAGCCCTAGGCTTAGCCGGCCCGCCTTCCTCCTCCCTCTGGCAGGTGACGGCGGAATCCCGCTGTAAGCTGCTCAGCTGGCTGATCCCCGTGCACCGCCAGTTCGGCCTCTCCTTCGAGTCACTGTGCCTGACGGTGAACACTCTGGACCGCTTCCTTATCACCACGCCTGTGGCTGCAGACTGCTTCCAGCTGCTCGGGGTCACGTCTCTGCTCATCGCTTGCAAACAGGTACCTCCACGCGGGGTCTAGGGGGCAGCCAAACTCTAAGCCAGTCTCTGGCTGCTCGGCTTTCCAGCGCACACGACTGAGTGCTGGGTTCCCTGAACTCATTTTAGCAGACGTTTGCAACCTCACACACTCCACAGTTTTAGCTTCACAGTTCCCTCACAAGCTAACAGTCCTTTCACCCAGCCCCCAAAGAAATAGGCCGGTCTCAACAGCTTTCTGTAGTCCTTCTAGTCTAGTCTTCGAAAAAAAAAATCTTCAAAATTTCTCCAACCTGTTTTCAGCTGGACGGAAGTTAAAGAAAATGTGCTGAAGTACACCCCAGATGAGTGGAAGTATGGAGAGGCGAAGCCCCAGATATCTCACTGGAAGGGATAGAGGGAGTCCTGGTTTTCTACCAGGTTTGAAACTGGGTGGGCCTCGGACCTGAATGCTGCGCAGCGGGGGCTGAGCACCCCTGTTTTACAGGTGGAGGTGCACCCGCCGCGCGTGAAGCAGCTCCTGGCCCTGTGCTGCGGCGCCTTCTCCCGTCAGCAGCTCTGCAACCTTGAGTGCATCGTGCTGCACAAACTGCACTTCAGCCTGGGCGCGCCGACCATCAGTTTCTTCCTGGAGCATTTCACACACGCGCGCGTGGAGGCCGGGCAGGCCCAGATCTCCGAAGCCCTGGAGGCGCAAGCCCTGGCGCGCGGTGTGGCGGAGCTGAGCCTGGCTGACTACGCTTTCAGCAGCTACACCCCCTCCCTGCTGGCCATCTGTTGCTTGGCGCTGGCAGACCGTATGCTGCAGCTCCCACGCCCGCTGGACTTGCGCCTGGGTGGGCACTGCGAGGAGGCGCTAGAGGACTGCCTGGGCAAGCTGCAGCTACTGGTGGCCATAAACGGAACCTCTCTGACTCACATGCTGCCCTTCCAGATCTCTGAGAAGTGCAGCCTGTCCTCGAGCTTGAAATAAAGTAGACCCTTGGTTTCCTTTGATCCCCTAGCCTGGCTGCTGGACCTCTCCCATCGTTTTGAAAGAGTGCAGTATTGGCCCACAGAAAGGGGTTCAAGGCTCCCACTTGGTCACCAGGTCATCTTACAGGTTGTAATTAGTGTACAATAGTAGAGTCTCATTGTTTGTTTTGCCGAGAGCGCACGAGAGAAGAGCCATCTTTCCCCGATAAACAGGCGGTCTGTCGTGGTTTGTCTGAAAGCTGCTATTGTGAGCATTTTTGTTCGATGGAAGGGAAGGTGAAGGCAGTCCCGGAACAGAGGCAGTAACAACCAAGGGGGTCCTCCCTCCCTCCAGGTCCACTCTGTAGTTAGCACTCTGTGTAGGAACATCAGATCTGGCATGGTCCTGGTCACCACAGTTCCAGTTCCAGGGTCACTTGTAGGCATGTAACCCATGACCCTCCTGTCAGGAGGCTGAGGACTGCTTATCCCCAGAGATCCAAAGGTGTTGGGGGTGTGAGGTTGAATAGAGCTCACAGCAATCCATGCTGTCTAGAGAGGCCAGAGTGCAGCCCCTGGTGCAGGCGATGCCTCGATACCTCAGGAAAGCATTGGGGACCCCTCAGGCTCACTAACTAAAGCAAGCAAGAGCTACCCTGACAACTGCCAGATGCAGAAAATGAAGGCTTTGCAGGCAGTTATGGCCATTGCAAGTCAAGCCCATCTATCCTGCAATCACGTGATTGAAGAGTTCTCACTTGTCTTACACTTGCTCATGTGAGCCTGGGGAAGCAACAGCACACTAGTAATCCTGGCTATCATTTAATGCTTATACGTAAAGACACTGTGTTCAGGATTTGTTATTTCAGTGCTTCAACAATTCTGAGTCAGAATCTATTATCCCAGTTTTCACAGAAGGACACTGGGCCACAGAGAAGTTAAATGACAATGGAGCAGCCAAGATTTGAAGGCAGGTGATTGAGTCCAGAGTCCCACCCTTTGCCACCTGCTCAACTTACCCCACTTACAGATTTCTGGATATGCTCATAAAACCCTCTTCCCGAGTTAGGTATGGGACAAGTGACCTATTTAGTGCCCTCCATTCAATAGGGACTATAGAGAACATATTTGGAGAGCCAGTACACTCCCTGCCTCCAGTTATGTTACAGGAGTCATTTTACAGATGGGAAAAGTGAATCAAGAAATGGGACAGAGGCAGGCTGGAGTTTTGGAGTTCATAGCTGTCCTGTCATCTTCATTTTCACTGTTGTGAATCTGCAGTAGGCCCTGAATCTCAGCTCTGTCACCTCCAGCAAATTTTTTAACTTCTCTAAGCCCAATAGGCAACTGATACCCTGGCTGTTGGGAAGCTTAAATGAGATTGCTTTGAGGTGGTTTCAAGTAGTGATTAAACATGCAGGCTCTAGAATCAATTTGCTGGGTGAGCTTAAGCAAGTCACATGTCTATGCCTAAGTCTCTTCTGTAAAAATGGGAATAACAGTAGCATTTACCTGGTAGTGTAGATGTAAGAATTTAATGAGATCTTCTCTACAAATCCCTCAGCACAAGTCCTGGCACAAAGCAATTCTTCAAAAAGGCTGGTGTCAGCCTGTACAATGATGGGGACGGGTTACACAGAAAAAACATGGAGAAAGAGATAAAGCAAATATAGCAAATTGTTAACAATGTTATTGTTGTTCACTGTACTGTTCTTTCAATTCTGTATGGTTGAAAAAACATAATAAAAAGATTTTGGGGGAAAAATTCAGTCATGTTTTAGTGCATTTAGAATAAGCCTGCGATGTATGACAAATGGCACAAATAAAAAGCAAACAAACTCAAAGGAAATGTAGAGAAACGTCCTTGCACTTCTCTTCACTTGCACCCTCCAAGTACTCTCCAGAGCCAAGAACGCCTTCCTCTAGGCACCTTGGACCCTTTTGTTCCAGATATGCTGATATGCTAAGCGCACCAGGAACTTTCTCCTCCTTGGTTCAGGGAAAGGGAAGTGGTGATCCCCAAGCCGTGTGAGGAAAAACTGGTCTATGATGGTGAAAAGTAGGAGGTGGAAGATCATATCATCTATCCCAAGTTCCAAAATATCTGGAGCCCTAAGTCTGGCTGTTAGGGGGTGGGGAACCTCTGCAAAAGAATGACTTTGGGAGGAGTTATCTCCACCAGCTTTTACTCCATCACTCAGTCAAGCTTGTTATGGGTGATTTGGTTCCAGAATCATCCAGACTAGTTGTTGTATAATCAAGCTATTCCTGCTCTTGTTGCCATAGATAATCTACTGTATATTTAAATGTATAATGTCCATATTTTTCTACTCCAATTTGGAACTCAATGAAAATGGGCCTATTTTGGAAAATCTGTGATGTCTCCATGTGTAGAGATCTCCCCAAAACTCAGCTAAGAACTCCCCTACTCCTTTTACAGACTGGGAAGTTATTAAGGATAGGAGTGGGGGATGGAGTGGCTGGTGGCCAGGCTACTCAGGAACCATAGGAGGCAGGAGACAGAGCCAGGAACAGGCTGTGGGAGGCTATAGATGCAGCTGAATAGGCTCCTTTAAACAACAACAAAATTAATTTATTCACACCAAGCACCAGTCACATCTCATCTTCACAGCAACTCCATTGAAGTCAGTGTTATGTTTTTCCAGAACTGGGCTCACGGACCTGGTGGAGCCAAGTTCTAACCCTAAAGCTAGAGCTCTTTCCTCACCATCAGAAGTACCACACCAACTTTAGCTGGCTGATCTCACTTCACCTGGGTCCCTGGCATCTATAGATGGGTCAGAGAGTTTCTGAGTCAAACTGTATCATTGGATTACTCTCCATTACTGTTATGGTTATCTTATTTATTAATCCAAATAATAGGTGCAAATAAAAGAGGATCATGCACTTTCACTATTCCTACTGGGTATAAGGCACCAAGAAGGTGCCCGATAGGCAGTCAAAAGATTTCAATTTCAGATGATTGTCCAAACTGGATGGATATAAGCGTGGTCCTGAGAGAGGCAGACTCCTCACTCAGGGATCTGGAGATGCCCCTTCCTGGGAGAGGCTTCAGGCTTGGGAAGGGCAGTCAAGTTTGCGGCAGAGCAATCGAGGCGCTTGTACAGAGGACGGCCAGATGCTTCGAGGGACAGCCGAGACTTCCGGAGGAGAGACCCGGGGTTTTAGGGGATTTGGGGCTGTCCACTGTGTCGTTTTTAGAAACTGAAGGGGAGTTTGTAGATGTCACTTTTTCTTAATTGCCCCTCTTTAAAATGCTGAGCTCAGGCGCTGCTACCCGGGAAAGTGCAGGGCTAAGAGTATGGAGGAGGCTCTAGGCACCAGACCAAGTGAGACCAAGTGGAAGGCAAGACCAAGAGTCCTCCCTAACCTTGGGAGAAGGTGCTTCTGTAATCTTGGGCTGTCTGGGGGAGTCTCCATCCTTCAGGGCGGAGCAAATGCTGGAGTCTGGCTTTGGCGATTGACACAGTTTATTTCGTGCCTTGCGGCTGGGGTGGGAAGAAAATGTGAATCGTTAACTTTTTCATTCCCGCTGTCCACACGCGGGAAGGCAATACTCAGCGTTAGGGACCAGTAGGGCTGGTCCGCTCCTCCTTCCCTCCCTTCCTCTGGCGCGGCGGGGAGGTGGCGGCGCCAACGCTAGCCAAAAGGGCGCCCGCGGGCCCGAGCCCCGCGCTCGTGGCTCCCGAGGGAAGCCGTGTTGCCAGGTTGTGTTTAACGCCTCCGCCCGCGCACAGATTGTCAAGGGCTGAAGGCGCCACCTCTGGCGCTCAAGCGCGAGCCGCCCCTCCCGCGCCACGATACTCTCTTCACTCGGCCCTCCCTCCCGTACCTCCACAGTCTCCCCTGGCTCCACCCCGGCCACGCGCCTCCCCGACCTCCGGCCGGCT